TTTGTCCTCCTGGACAATAATTACTCTTTCTGTTCCACGAATGATGAAGTATCCATCTACATCATTAGGTCATTCAAAACAAAACCGCAGTCGTTATCACTGCGCAAAGAGAACCATCACCTTCATTACCTACTTCTTGTGAACTGGAGCCTCTTATGTCTCCAACCTTTTATCTTAACGGTGGAACCTAAGGTAACCACCCGCAAAAATATAAATTAACCCCTCACGTCATCCAGGACTCGTCGACGGTTGACTCACATTTCTCTAACCCTCTAGGAAGTGGTCTGTGGATACTCCTTCCCCTCGCCCGAGCCCGAAGACTCGGATCTCAGAGGTTGGGCAGTCACCACCGAGTCGGCAGAGTACCACCCCCGACGAATCGGGTCCTCTCCAAGTCGATAACAAGGCCGGCTCCGAAAGCATGCGAACCCCCGCCTCGGATGCTTCATAGAGAGAAAGACTGTATTCGCCATGAGTAGGTTTCTTTTATTCTCATTTTATTAATAAGTTTTGGGTAACTTATACGAAAAAAAACTGCAGAAGATAGACAAAGGGAATCAGTTGGACAGGTATAGGTAGATAAGGTCGTTCGGGATAGAAAAAGTCAATCATGGGGAGAAAGCTAAATCCGTTTGACCTTATCTGCTTTATTCCAATTGAATTAATTCTGTGGTGCACACAAAATTAAAGTTTTTCAATACATCGAATCATTTTTGGCACGCAGACGTGTGAGAAGTAATGAAAAGACAATCCTTTTTCCTTTTCTCCAACAAACATAATCAATCTCCTTTACAGACATCCTGCTACCTATCTGCACAACACGCAAAAACGACAAGTTCAAGAGAAAACCAGTACATTCCCATACTCAAGTCAGACTTCTTCATTCACATGTATGACTCACACAACTTTTCTTTACCTTTCCAACGAACATTCAATGAACAGGGTCAAGCAAAGTGTGGGTTCAGACAGGTGTGAAGGGAAATCTGAGTCAATAACTTGACCGACTGACTAACTGATCTTGAGTGAAGTTGTAAAAATGGCCTACTGAAGAAAACCGTATAGAATCACGCCGCTTGACGAGAAGGTCGTCGCAACAAGTCGTCAGCAAAGTGATCCACACCACTCCCTAGAACGATCGCTTGCCGCGACACCCTCTCAACACCAATCACCTCAACAACTTGACATTGTCTCAATGCCGCCGTCACTCGCTTCCAATGTCACCGCGTCACTGCGGCGCCACGCTCAAGCCACTTCTTCAACCGCGCTACCACTTCAGCGGCGCCTTCCCTGCGCCAATGCCCAGCCACCACTTTATGTAGTCCGTGCCAAAAATACTGCTGCCACCGCCGTGAAAAATCGGCAGCGCTTCCGCACCACTGCCGTTAAAACGAGGGCTGCCACCGCAGAAATCCGGCAGCGCTTTCGCACCACTGCCAAAATCTTAGTGTCACCGCCGTAAAAAATCGGCAGTGCTTCCGCGCCACCGCCAAAATCTTAGTGTCGCCGCCACAAAAGATCGACAGCGCTTCCGTGTCACTGCCGTTAAAGCGTCGCCATTGCCGTGCCGAGTGAACAACGTCATCCCAAAGTCACTCTAAAATGGCTGCCGACGCTGTGCAAAAGGGGCAGAATCTCCCCTACACCACTTGCCGATGACTACCGCCGCCGTGCAAACCACTGCCAAAATCTTAGTGCCGCCGCCGCAAAAACTCGGCAGCGCTTCCACGTCAGTGCCGCTAAAGCGTCGCGGTTGCCGTGCCGAGTGAACAGCATCATCCCAAAGTCACTCTAAAATGGATGCCGACGCTGCACGAAAGGGGCAGAGTCTCCCGTGCACCACTTGCCGATGACTACCGCCGCCGTGCAAAATGGGCAGAGTCTCCCCTGCACCACTTGCCGAGGACCTGCTGCGAACAACAGCACCTCCCGCTGGCTCCATGCCGCCCGATGGCTATGGCAGCCTCTCCTTTCCTCTCTCACTGCAAACCTCCACTCCACTCTTCCTCTTACTCGCTGGCCCGCAGCATAATGTTGCTCTCCACTCCACACTCAATCAGAATGTGGGCAGCACCTCAACTGAATGAGGATGCTGTTGGCCAGCCCTGCTTTTATAGCTGGGCTGGAGTAGTGGGCAGCCACTTGAGGCTCAACCAAAAAACGGGGCTGAGCCTAGCCCTCGATCTGAACTTCGATCGAGGGCAGGGAATCTTGATGTTCTACTAGGAACATCAAGTCCCTGGCTTTGGCTATGCACCTGGCCGCCACCCACGGACGGGCGCGGTCCAAAATGGCAGTACCAAGCCATTTCAGGACTGCATGCTCAACTTGAATAGATGCAGTCCCATCAGCCCCTAGAAGCTTCTGGGCTGTATCTGTTCCACGGCTGCGGCCACATACGTGGCCGTTACTTTTCCTCCCCCACTCTCTTTTTTTTTTTTTTTTTTCGTTTTTCAAAACGAGCTGCCTCCCTCCACCATGTCATTTCACAGCGTCGAACTAGAGGCAAGCTCATAGGGTCTTCTCCCCCTGCTCCCACATGCCATCTGCGCCTGTATCTGGCACATCTCAAGTGCCCGATTCAGTCGCCGAAGAGCAGACTGCTGCCCATCGCTAAACGAACAGGCGCAGCCTTTTGCTGGTGCCAACGAGTTGGGGTGGGGGGGAATAAAAGAAAAGAACAAAATAAAACTAAGAAAAAACAAGTTTAAACAACAGAACCCCCCCCCCCACAAAGATCCTATAAAAAAAAGACGGCTGCCCGTTGTCACGGGCGCCTGTCGTAATGCATGGGGACTGCAAGTCCCCATCAGCACCTTATCGTGCCTCCCATGAGTGCGCCCGTACCTAGGCGCCTCCGGCGCCAGGTACGGGCGCTTCACAGGTCCGTTACCCGTCATGTAGCATGGGTCATCCCCAAATAGCTCCCCCCCCCCCTCTTTCTCTCTCTCTCTCTCTCAAGACCGATGGTCTCGACCGTGCAGAGAGTCTCCCGTAACTCAAGTACAAGGTCCCAAAACCCAAGCTCGGAACGTGGCCACGTTCCGCGGCAGATTCAGTC